GAGTCTTGATGTTTAGGAATACTAACACCACACACACACCACACACACACACACCACACACACACAACAACACACACACAACGACGGGATCCAAGTTAACATTAGAGCAAGGGAGGTGGAGTCTGTTTTGAGAATGACAGGTGATTTGTTTCGATCCTTGAAAAAGGAGTGGGGGGGGGGCCTGGAGATTGAGTTTGAAAAGCAAAATGAAATCTGTGTGGCATGGTTTGTGTTTGGTGCAACAGTAACTACCAGTACAACCATCGGTGGGGGGGGGAGATTCACCAGCAGGTTACACCCCCACCCGTCCCCCTCCCTCCTTGTAAGCAGCAGCAGTTGGTGCTGATGTCAACAAGAGGATCAGTGAACAGAGATTCGATAACTTTACTCTCACAGATGTGTGTCCTGTATTACACATGTTGCATGATCACGTGTGTATTTGCCGCATCTGTCTTTTTGGGTGTGTGTGTATGTGTGTGTGTGTGTTGTGGTTGGTGTGTGTTAAAATAATAAACAAAGTGATTTGCCTTGAGGGGGTGAGAGTGATGCTGGGAGGGGGATTTGGTGAAGGGAAGGAAGGGGGGGTTAGGGGGCTGCCCAAAGTCCCATGATCCCCGGGTGCTGTGGAGGGGAGCGTGGGGATGTGAAGGGGGATGGGTGGGGGTGGGCTCCAGCTGAGCACCGCTTGGAATGTTGACACTTGAGGTGGCTAACGAACCGTGCAGGGAGGTGAGTAATCTTCATCAACTCAATTCCAATTAACAGTCAACAGGAAAAGCTCCTCTGTGGACCAGGAGGGAGACCAAGACCAGGTAGAGACCAAGACTGACTCATCAGGTCCTCAGTCCATCAGGAGCTGACCTCCGATATCATCCATCCTGCCCTCCCACCCTCCTCCTCCTTCTCTGGGGAGGAACACCCCTTGGACCACTGGAACTCACGTATTTCTCCCGTGGATCACATCAAACCTGACGAGCCCCCAGGGCCCCCAGGACCCCCCAGGCCCCGGCTACACCCAGGGTCTAATGGGAGACTTCCCAGACAGGTGGGAGGGCAGGAGGGGTGGGTGGATGGGGCTAGAAGGGGAACAGGGACAGGTCTACTAAAACCCCACCCCAGCCCCCACGTCTCCTGCCACACACCACCACACACAATCTGGAAACTAATCCCCCCAACAACAAACAATGATACTGTTGCTGTTGTTTTTCTAGAGAGGACAGTTCTGGAAAATTGGGGTCAGAGGTCAGACACACGAAACACACACACACACACCACACAACACACACACGTCAACACACACACACACACCACACACAACACACACCACCACACACACACACACAGTCATTCCTCTGTGCTATTCTTGTCTTTCTTCTTGAGCCACATTTAAAGTAAACACAACTCCAAAAACAGGACTGATACTTGACCTGCTGAACTCTCTCTCTCTGTCCTCTCTCCTTCTGTCTATCTCTCTTTCTTCTCGTGTCTCTTCCCTCTCTCATCTATATGGTACTCTCTGTACTCTCCTTCTTCTGTCTCTCTCATCTGATCTTCTCTTCTGTGTCTTCTCGGACTCTGGTCTGTTCTCCTCTGTCTCCCTCTTCTCTCTGTGTTCGGGTCCTCTCTCTCTGTTTCTGTCTCTCTCTCGTTGGTCTGTTCTCTCTCTGTCTGCTCTGTACTCTCTTCTGTCTGGTCTTCTCTCTCTCTGTCTGTCTTCTGCTGTCTGTCTGCTCTCCTCTCTCCTTTCGTCTTCCCTCTCTCCTTCGTGGCGTTCTCTCGTCTAAAGCTGTTCTCTCTTCTTGCTCTCTCTCTGTCTCTCTCTCTCTCTCTGTTCGTGCTTCTCCTGTCTGTTCTCTGCTCGTGTCTCTACTCGTTCGTCTCTGTCTCTCTGTGTCTCTCTCCTCTGTCTGTCGTGTTCTTCTCTGCTTCTCTTGCTTTCCTCTTCCCTGTCTGCTCATCTGCTGTCTCCTTCTGTCTGTTCTTTCTCTCTGTCTCTCTCTCTCGTGCTCACAAAACATTCATCTCTGTGCTCTCTCTCCTTCTGCTCTTTGTCTCTCTTACTTCTGTCTCTCGTCTGTGCCTCTCTCTCTTCTGTCTCTGCTCCTGTCTGTGTCCCTCTCTCTCGCTCTCTCCTGTCCTTTCTCCTCTGTTTCTCTTCTGTCTGTCTCCCCTCTGTCTGTCTCTCTCTGTCCTCTGTCTCTCTTTTCTCTCTCTCTCTGTCCTCTCTGCCTGTCTTTCTTGTCTTCTCTCTCTCTGCATGTCTGTTCTCTCGTCGTCTCTGGCTCTCTCTGTCTCTCTCTCTGTTGCTCGTGATCGTCTCTCTTCTCTGATCTCTCGTGGCTTTTCGGTCTGGTCGCTCTCTCTGTCTCGTGCTTCTCTGTCTCATTTTCTTTTGTCTTCCGTGTTCTCCTCTCTCTCTGTCTGTTTGTCTCGTCTGTCGTTTCTCTGTCGTCCTCTCTGTGTCTCTCTCTCTGTCGTCGTTGTCGTGGTGCGTGCTGCGTGGCGTGGCTGCGTGCGTCTTCCTACGTGTTCTCTCTCGGTTTCGTCGTCTGCTTCCTCTGTCTCTCTGTGTCTCTCTCTCTTCTCTCTG